CCAAACCTGTACTTACACTGTAGAGTAAACCCTCGTTACAACGAAGTGGCTTTATTTAAATGATCGCTTTTATCGAAGTGTCGCGCAGTCCTGGCCCCAATATGTGTATTTTAGACCCAATTACTCTGTGCATGTCGATAGCTTGCTCAGCTTAGAGCAAAGTAACAAGTTGCGAATCTGCATTCAGTGCCGCGAGCAGGCGACCGCCGCCGAGCCGAGCGGCCTTTCTTGCGCTGAGCGAGCGATGTTTGTGCTAGCGTCGCCAGGCTAAAGCACGCCAGTGACGACTGATGCAAATGGCGCGAGTTCCAGCGGCGTGGATTTAACCCTCCCCCTCTACGCCCTACCTGGGAATGGAGGCGCTCGCCAACATGCTAGCTGAAGAGTGCCTCGATGACTCGGAGGCGGACAAGTGTATCGAGGCACTCTAGCTGGCTGCTTACCACTACGTCGCTGGTAGCGGCTAAGCGGTTGTTTCACGTGACCAGCACGGAGGCTTGGCGTGCTCCCTGGCCCCTGGTTTATTTCCATCCGTGTTAGGAAGACGTACATGCGCGTGTTTAGTGCGAGGTCTGTGTGAACCTGTGATGTTGTGCGTGCGCATTGTGCGGGTGTAGTGATCGAGTGAAAATGGCACTGCCGATGCCTGCACGAATGTGTCTGACATTGGAGTAGAAAGTACAACTGATACGGGAGGTGGAAGGAGGAGGCCGGCAGAAGTCTGGAATCTCGAGACAATTCAGAATACCACCATCAATATTATCAACGGTTTTAAAGAATAAGAATCTCATGCTGGAAGGCTTCGAGAAGAGTTTCTCAGCCAAACAGAAGCGAAACATCATTGTATGTATCCTGAAGTAAAAAGCGCTTCTTGAATGGTTGAAGAACGCTAGAAGTACAAACCTTGCTTTAAATGGGCCTGCATTGACTACAAAAGCCGAAGCCCCAGCCGTCTAAATGGGCAAGCAAGATTTGAAGTCCAGCAAGGGCTGGCTTGAACATTTAATGAAACGGCACTGAGTGCCTTCAAAGTCTGTTGTTGGGGAAAGTGAAGCAGTGGGCAGCGTCGTCGTAGACGGATGGCGCAAGCATCAGCTGAGCGCCCTACTTTAGCAGTATGAAGATAGAAACATTTACAACTTCAATGAGGCGGCATTCTTTTACAAACTGTTGCTGAAGCTCGTGTACATTACATCACGCGGAACCTCATCAAGACGTAAACAAAGCAAAGGACGCGTTACAGTGCTGTTCGGTGCTAATGCAACGGGGAGGACAAGCTCCCTTTGCTGATACGGGGGAAGGTGGCAAAGTCCTGGTCGACTAGCCGGCTGAAATAGTAGACTTGCTTCGAGGCCCTTAGAGGAAGATGAGCCACTAGACCAACAGCCCCACGAAATACCAACAGTGGCACAAACCCAGGAAAGCCTCCGTCTGTTGCAAAATAGAGTGGAGGGGGCTGGCGGCCAACAAATAATTTGCCTGAACAAACTAGAGGAGGTTGCTCAGATTTGGGTGCACGTTAAAGAACCCCAGGTGGTCGAAACTTCCGGAGCCCTCCACTACGGCGTCTCTCAGAATCATATTGTGGTTTTGGGACGTTAAACCCCACAAATTAATCATCAAACTCTATACTCTGTTTCATGTGTCCCTAGCACAGACGAGCAAATTCAACATAATCCTCGAGCGTGCACTGCTGCGAAGCGAGATGTATACTGCCCATGCGCGGTACCCATTGTTTGTCCTTATGACCTTTACGAGCAATATCGCAGGATTTTTAATTTTCTGCGTGTTGTAGCTGTGATTTGTACGGTGATTTTGCCACATTTTCTGTATGAAACTATTTTTGTGGCTTTATAAAATTGAAGAAACAGTTCCCACTTGCTTGTGTTGTTACATGCAAGGGATGAAAAAAGTAAATTTTTGCCTCGTATGCATCAACTTTCTATTTATAAAGTACAAACAGACCCAATACTGTCTAAACTTTTATGTTTAGGCTGTGCAGCCACAGCGCTGCAGCAAACTAAGTCTTGGGTTCTGATTAGTCCGTGTTGGTAGAATAGGATAGGTGGACAAATGAGCGCTGTAATGGCATCACCGAACCGAATGAATCAAGCATTTTTTCTGGAGTTATTTTTCACATTACCCGACACTGTATCTTCCAAAGGTCCCCCCAGAATTTAAAGCACCTGCCGCGCTGGTTTAGTGGTTGCTATTCTCACTGGCTGACCTGTAGGTGTTTGGGATCAAATACGGCTGCAGCGGCTGCATGTTTATTAGAGAAAATGCTTGAGGGCCGGGTTCTTAAATTTAGATGCATGTAAAGAACCCCAGGTTGTTGAAATTTTTGGAGCCCTACACTATTGGCATCTCTTGTAGTCGTGGTTGGGGGGTGTTAAACCCCATCACTTATCAAGTTTCTAAGTGAAGCCTTTATTGCCTGACTTGTCTAGCTTATGACAGTGATGTCAAAAAAAAAATCCTGCTCAATCACGCAGCTAGTGTGCACCAAAATTTAATCAAATAAATTTTCTTTGCAAGGCTGGGGTTCAAAACCTGGGTCCCCATGACCCAAAATAAGTGCCGTGAATATTAGGCTACCACCCATGCTTGGTCATTGTGTACTCTAAAGCACAATAACGCATTTCCAACTGTACAAAAATAATATGGGAGCAGTAATTCGCTATGGTGCTTCATTGAAATTCCCTAAAAGAGCCCCTAAACAATCTCTTATATTTTTTCAAACGTTTAGGGTAACCACTCTCATTGTGTGAAGATTATCGTCACGATCAATGCCGCACGTGGCAATGCTATGAGCTGCAGGCACGCCACAGATTTCGGGAAACAACCCCCCCTCCCCACCTCTTCTGTAGGTCTTTCTGACCTCCGTTTGGCATCGAGAAGTTGAATCTGTGATGCATAGCGCAAGTCATGCTGCGATTGGTCATGCGCAAACCTACGTATTCTGGTTAGTCTGCATGCACTTGCCCGCACTCTTCGTTTGTGTTTAGTCGTGTTGCAGAAGGAACGGCGTCTAATTTTGCGCGGACGTGCTATGGCACTGCGTGTCGCCATACAGATTTATCATGTTGGCAATCCTTTCAAGGTGTGTGCTATGGCACTGCGTGTCGCCATACAGATTTATCATGTTGGCAATCCTTTCAAGGTGTGTGTGCAAAAGCACGGGCCTGCAAGACAACAGCGGTTAGCGAACAAGCACGGAGTTGGCATAGTTGTGCCAGCTGAAATAGGACGATGTTTCGAACAGCACGTCAGCGATGATGTGTGCCTCTCGAGCCTGGGAGGGACACTTTGCAAGGAGGGCAAAGTGGCTTTGGGAGAGGTGACCAGTAGAGCGTGGTGAAGGAAAAAACCAAAAGGAGTGATTGCAGGGTTTGGATCATCAAACATGCGTTATGGCGCAGTTTCGAAAAATTCTCGTGGAGACATGTTCGCTGTAGTTCATGCATAACTTGCCCACCACATTTGTCCGGTGGTTAAAGGGCCCTTTAACCCTTCCGTCACCTTGCGGGATTCCGCAAAACTCATTTGCAATTAAAATATTTCATGTTGACAGTCTAAAGTGATCCTCTGGACAAAGTGTAAAGCCGATACCAGGAAGTCCAAATGTGAAGAGTATATCGACTTCAAGAAAACAATATCTAACCCATGTTTCTATGATCGTGTGATCGTATTTTTGTTGGCCCATTCTACATCGTGAGACTCCATGCTGATTCAGCAAAAAAAAACAGCGTTTAGGTGGAGGCCTTTACCGATCAAGAAAAGCAGTATGTCAAGTATACCCATGCCTAGGCCTCTTACCCCCTTTTCCCCGATTAGGGAAGGGCTCCCGATTTTCCACATTTTCGTTCCACATGTTAGAAATATCAGAATACATTGTTTGCAGACTTTTCTTGAGTGGTGAGTAGTGACAGTGGCAAGTTGCCGTTCAAGAATTAAAGATGCCTACCATATATGCACTTACTCTATCCTTATTCTTCAATGAGGTTCCTTTACATGAGTAGGCTCTTCTGCTATTAAATGATCAAGACGTACATGATTGCCATGTACATGATTGACGTACATGATTGGCAATTTTGCCGCCTCCAAAATTGCCAATTCCAAGTTTACACTCTTTTCTATGAAAGCCCGCCCCTAACTTGGCACCCCGATCATACAATGCACCCATGCAAAGCACCTGAACCTGAAATTAGTCATTGAAATTAGCCCTGGATAAAGGTTGCTCACCGAACTGTGTGTATAAAGGTGCTCAATGAACCTGACAATTTACAGGGTCCTGCAAGCAAAGGTGTGACCCTTGATGTCTGTGTACCAGGGTGGCACCATGATGAAATAGGCAGTTTTAGCTTCCAAGACCAGTGTTTGTTTCTTATAGCTGTTACGTTGGCCTATCTGACATGCTTCCTTGCCATGCTTCCACATTGCCATTGTTTCATGCCATCATTGTAACCCACTGTGCCACTAACAAGAAGACTTTTTAAAGTCCACACGCACTGTTTTTTCTTGCAACAAAATTTTGCTACTGCCGTCTTGAAATTTTGGTTGTTCCGGAAAAATGATCCTCTCCACTTTGCCCGGTAATTTTTTATTCGCTGAAGGGGCGGCTCTCAATTTTACGGTATTCGTCTACTGGACCTTTAGTTGCATAGTCGTGTCGCTGGTTTCCAGTTGGAAAACTTCAAATTGCTAGCAAACGTTGGCACATATTCTGACATTAGTGCTTGGGGAAACTTCATTATTAATGTGCTTAGTACTTTCATTAGAAAGGAAAAAGTATGTATGGTTGCTGGAAACACCTGGCATGACTCGCACAAATGAATGGCAGTCGTGCACAGTTCAGGAGGTGGTGCTTGTATATTTTTCTTAAATAGGTGCAACGAACAGTCTGGTATGGTTGTCATTAATAATCTTAATAAATGTCCCATCAGTTGAACACTTGTGCAACAGGAGCAGCAGTAAAAGCTTGATCATCTGCTTCGCAGAATGCTGCTGGGTACCAGAGTGACTCCCCGGTGGATAGCGACAGTGGTGCCCAGAGTGTGCGTACCAGCTCGCCCTGCAGCACTTCGTACCTGTCTGCCATTGAAGGAGAGGATGAGGAGGAAGACGATGAGAAGGGAAAGAAACCTGGCTGCAAAGATGACAGTACCCAAACGCCCTTGCCGCCGCATCGCCAGTCACTAGGCACACAGGCGGTACAGCCAACACACAACGCTGAGTCCCAGACTGAAGGATCAGAGCTTGACCAGGTGGGTGGCTTGGGCTGGCAAGGGTATTGCATAGATTGCGGGCTGGAATGGATGCGGGGTCTTTTAGAGAACTGAACATTGAAAGTGATGACTTCTAATAATTCATTTTTTTTCAAAATTACTTTTGGAAAAGCAGTCTTCACAGAAATAGTTTAGACTTCATTGGATGTTGGGAATTACGGGAGTGTAGGTTTGTCGATGGTCATTGTAAGTTGTGGAACTGTATCTGATGTGCAGTTTTTGTAATTCGGCCTCGATTCGTTCTGCAATAGTTTATGGCTTCGGCAATGCCGGCAGTCGTTTCTGCAAAACATGTCTTAAAGGGGTTTCTTAAGCAGGCTTTAAGGGTAAGTTCCGTGGAAATGATGTGAGTGAACAGACTTTTAGATTATTTAAGAAATAGACATTTTGTACGGGTGCTAGAGAACTAGTGTGTGCATTTCTAGGATGGGAATGACATTCATTTTTTTTTTTTTTATGGAACCGTGTGAATTAGTGTAGTATGCAGCAGGTTCAGAAATGAGGTTATAGACCCTCGCGCTATTTACAAACACAGGTCCTGGGTGCCTCCCGAGTTTTGTAATGTAGTAGCAATTGCAAGGAACAAATGCTTCAGCAAATAACTGATTTATACAGCTTTTCTTCCTGTGATTGGCCAAATATTTTAAATTTTATTCCTAGCTACACACATTATGAATTAGTCATTGACTTTAAGTGCCTTCCTTTTACCTGAAAGAGGAAAGTTTTTCTTATCCAGTACAACTTGAATATACAACCTTCTTGCTTCGGTGTTGCAGAATGATAATTGAAGTGACTGGAAGTCTCTTGAGAAGCAGCAACATGTGCTGCTGCCATTGCAGCCTTGAAACTGAGCAAAAAGATGATTAAACATTTAGCTTGCCCTTGACTCTCCTGTTATGGCAACGTTCTTGTCGTGGTTAGAGCTGCATTTTCTTGATTTGCAGATTACTGAGCTGGAGCTACAGCTGAGAAAACGAGACGCCAAAATTTTTGAACTCCAGGAGAGGCTGGCATGTATCCAGGAAGAGCACGTGTAAGTTTTTGGGGTCTTGGCCAGGGCTGAAACAAGGCGCAGCAGTTCAATTATGAGGTTCAGGTAGTGGGAGGCTCCGGAAATATCAATCATCTGGGATTCTTTAACATGCATCTAAAGCTTGGTATCAGGGCGTCTAGCATTTGGCCTTCATTGAAATGCAACCGCTATTGTTGCCATTGGCGTGTGGGTACAAATGCATAGTGAAAAAAAAAAGCACGAAAATGATGAGGATGAAACAGAATAGCGCTTTCTCCCGCTTCTTCCGTTCTTTCCTTGTTGTTTTTGTTTTTTACTACAACCTCCATTGCCTGAATCTAACCCACGGCCGAGCTCAGTAATCGCTGTAACACCGCAGTTGGACTTTGCAATGGAAGCACAATTCCAGTTTGTTTGGGCTGAACTTGTAGTTGAATCTCAAATGATACAATTATGGTTGATGCGAATTTCGTGATATGAATTTTAAGGTTGCTTTGGATGGACTATATTATATCAGTGGTGGATCCAGCCACCCATTTTAGCGGGGGCGGTCGCTTGAATTAACACAGGAAAGGGGGAGGGGGCCGTGGTCATTACTTTTTGTTTTTACTAGCACAAAAACCCTGTAATGGCATAAATACTGTTAATGTGTGCTCACAGTGTGGTCCCACTCATTTGTTTTAACTGGTGATAGCAGGTGGATGGCAAGCACTGAAGAGGGGGAGGGGGGGTTTGACAGTCTTTGGTGGGGGCGATCGCCCCTACAGCCCCCTTTGGATCTGCCACTGCATTATATAAAACACAGTTTTGAGACCAGTTTTCCGGCCACGCAATAGCAGATTGCCTTTTTGTGTCACATCGTTGGCTACACCGGCTGCTCTAGCTCCCAAACCAAGTGACGTAAACAACCAGCCGCAAATTAAACATCGTGGCAAAGGCGTCGGCAGTGGATCGCGTCAGGGCTATTGCGAACTACCTGTGCTGCACGTCAAAGCTTATGGCCTTGACAAAGACACGTTCATTGAGAGCCTTGTTTTGATTGCGATCGCTGAGAACACCGAAAAGAAGGTGCAGCAGCAGCGAATCTGCATGCCCCAACGTGTCTCACTTTTGCACTGCCAGCTGAATCCGTCACCGCCACTGCGTCCGCTTGTTTCGTTTCTGCTCGCGTATCTTTCGAAACCACGTTTGTAAAGGTGTAAACAGTTCCTTTCAAAGCTTTCATGCATAACTAGAACTCTGTACGAACTTTAATGCTCAGAAAATGGGCCAAATGGAATGAATTCTCAAGCAGCGATGGTGGCATGTACGAGGGGCAGAACAAATTTGAGCATTTTCGACTTCTGCTGATATGGTTTTCCGGCTGCTGTGACGTTTTCGCTTGAATTCTCCAGTGCGAAATCTCCAGGACTGATTTTTTTTTGGTCGACTTTGCGGCAAGGTTAATTGTCTTAAGTGGCAAAGCGAGTGAATTTCTAGTGAGCTTGGCCGCTTTCGCTCTCTTTGATGTCAAGTGTGAACGCGCTGCGCCAGCAGCATGAGTGAGGGAACCGCAGCACATTATTGAGAGACAGTGAAGGCGAGGAAGTTCACAAGAACATCGTGGACATTTTTCAGTAAGAAGTAGTTGCCAATAACGTTATTGTTCATCTTCATTATCAACTTTAACTTCTTCTTGGTTCATACGAATTCTGGATGATACGAATATTTTGCAGACTCCCTTCGAATTTGTATTGTAGAGATTCTACAGTATTTGGAAAAGCCCTGAATGCTTATTTATTCAGTTCTATTAATGGTAGTTCTGGCGCAGGAAAGTTTTTTAGACGAATCCTTTCTGTGAAGAGCACATATTGCGCCAGCCAACTTGCACCTGATTTTTGTAGGTACTACAAAATACAGGTTGAGGCATGCCGCAGGTGTTTGTTTGCCCCCTCATCTCTGAAGCCATGTTATCTTGCATCATCCCCTGCAAGTCCAACCAGTGGTGTTCTTTTTCCCGTCTTTCTATGAAAAACTCATTTTGCTTGCATTTGTTACGCTCGTGTCAGATCTGGCCAGATTCAGCTCCTAAATTTGATCGGCACCTGTCAGAAAATTTGTTTTACATAGTCTAAAATTATTTTTTAATTTGCCTATAATGCTCCCCGGCATCGTATAAAGCAGTGGTTCTTAGAGATGGATGTTTTGGAGACCTCTTGTGGACTAGTGAAAGTTATGAGTCCTCTGCTGCTGGTAGTGAAAGGGGAGGGGGGGATCTGAAATTAACACATGCAGTTCAGAAAAATTGATGGACATGATTGGTGTAGATTCATTATGACAACTTGGCAGTGCAAACAAAGTAAAATGGCTCACAAACAAGCGCAGACTGAAACTCTGGTTTATTCGTAGAAGAAATATATATATATAATAAAACACGTGAGGAAAGAGGGTTACACGAGGAAGAGTCATTTGAAGTCAGCTGCTGTCCAGAAATGCAACCATGCAATCTAAAAGCGCTATAGAGTGCGAAAAGACGCAAACATCAGTGTTCTATAAAAAAAAATTACGACTATCTCCCCGAAGGTAACCCTAATAAGATGCGAAGCAGCAGTGATGTGCACGGCGTTGACCCGTTAAAACGGGCGTCGACGCGGGTGCTGGAAGAATGGTTTGAAGCAAAACCCAGTGTAGCATCTACTCGAGTAAGCGTTTGTTTGAAATGCAAAGACATGGCAGGTGGTAGGTTGGGTTTCATGTAAGTTTCGTTGCAGATAAATGAGCAGAAAGAGTGTTTCCACTTGTCAATCGGTCGAGCGTTGCAGGTGGTGGAGAGGGCGAAGCGAGAGGTGTTGCGAGCGGGCGGAGTAGCCTGCAGGTGTGCGCGTTGTGGTGAGCATGCTACGGGTGAGGGAGAGTGATGTTTATATGCAGCTGTGGCCTGAGCTACCGTATAAACTGGACTATAGGTCGAGTGGGAATACAGGTCGACACCCCAAGTTCAGGTTACCGAAAATGAAAAAAAGGAAAACAACCCAGAACTGCCAAACGAGGTTTATTCGCGAATTGGGCGCATCGCACCCCCGATCGTCGGAGCTCCCCTCAACCACTATCACAACTGTTCCTATTCCTCAGACGAAGCACCACTGTCTTCTGAAGACAAGAGTTTGTAGCTGGCTGCCTCCCAGAGTGCGTTGTCTTCCGTGCCGTACAGCGAGTTGCTCTCGGAAAATTTCTTAAAAGCATTTTCCACCATGGAATCTGGCAAGGAACACCAGACTGAAAGCACCCAGCCACAAACAGTCGCAACCGGAGGCCTCTGTAGGCAGCCTGTCGGTGTCTTTGGGTTGTCGCTGGACATCCACTTTTGGTACTCCAGTCGCACTCGTTCCTTGAACGGCTTGTTTAGCACAACCTCGAGCAGAGCGAGAGTGGACGTCATACCACGTGGTATCATGGCGAGGTCAGTTTTTCTATCGCCCAGTGCGCGCTTCACAGCGTCGGTTAATGACCACAAAACGCATCTATCACCAGCATGCTGCAAAGACGGAGCAGTGCACCTGGCCGACGATTCCAGACTACTCTATCCATTCGAGCATCATGGCCTCGTCCATGTATCCCCGTTAACGCAAACGACAACACAGGGAGGGAACACGTTCTTCAACATTGTCTTGCGTTTGAAAATGATGAAGAGCGGAAGCTTTCTACCATCTGCCATGCATTGCGGCATGATGGTGAAGCGCGAGTGCTCGTTGCCAGTGGACAACAGCTTCATATCCTTGGCGCCACGCTGCAGGATCATGGTCGATGAAAGAATGTCAAACCACACGGGGGTCTCATCAGCACTGTCAATCTGCCCCATCATGTAGTTGTTTTGCTCTCGAAGTCTGTTCACGAAGCCCTGAAAGTTTATAAGCTTGTCCTTGAACTCGTCTGGAAACTTCTGACAGATGGATGTGCGCCACCGGAAAGAAAATTCTTTGTGTCTCATGCATCGGCGCACCCGAGAGTTTGGTGCACGAAATTCTTCTCTAGTGAGCCCAGCTTCTCGAGCGAGTTACACAGCTTTCTTGCGAATGGTATCCATGGTCTTTGGCAGCGAGCTCGCGTGAACTTCCCACACAAAGTTCCCTAGCCTATCCTCCAGCTGTGGATGAACCGCACTTCGCCCACCAAATTACATTTTCCGAGGATCGCACATCTGCAGCTTTCCTTTCTGCACCCTCCAATAGCGCAGGCTTTTTTCTGATACACCCAAGTGGCGCTGAGCTGCCATATTCTTATTTGCTTCTGCAAACTCAACAACCTCTAGTTTAAACGCAGCTGAGTACTGCCTTTTTCGTACCGCTACTCGTATTTAGTGAACGAAAAAAAGATACTAAAAATAAAACCCACTGTCAAGCAGAGGGAAAACTTGGGACAGATCGGAGGCAAATCACGAACGCAAAAAAAAACAGACAAGAGAGAAGAAAAAACAACTTATTAGATTTGGATGCGGATATAGCCGTGTCCGGCTTCTCATGCACATGCAAGCCACATGTTGCCAGACAGTAGCGCACTGACGGCTAGACACCCCTATAAATCAGACGAGGGGCAACTTTAGCTCGTTCTTTTATTGGAAATATCGACTTATATTCTGGTTTATACGGTACTTGGCACCATGCCAACACCTGTGACGAGGGGCACGCGTTGCTGCGCGTTCATAAGGATGCGCATACATACGGTGTTACACACGAGTTGAAGATCTGCTTCGAATCTAAAAGGGGCGTCAGCAGTGTCTCTAATATTCGTGCCATGATGGGCGTACGAAACAGGTGTGTGTGGAAGTTCTGGTGCGCAAGCACACATTCTGCAATGGGCAGACAAGTGCAAACCTGGTGCGCGTTGTAGTGCTTTCTCAAGCGCTTATTCAGGCAGCATCTAGGCTGCCCGATATATACCCTGCTGCAAGACAATGGCATGCATGAAACATTCATTCGCCGCCGAAAATCGCAGCAGTTGCAAAGTAGAGTTGTGATATCAATCATTTTACTAACTGTCGAGCAAATGTTGTTTATTGCATACCATTGTCTTGCAACAGCGTATTACAGCGAAAGCTGTTAGATCACAACTCGGGTCTCTCGCAGCGCCGCCTCCGCCGGTGTCCATAACCTTTGTCGCAGGAAATAAGAAAACCCTAGTACCAATGACACAGTGGGATTCGAACCCGGGTCTGCTGGGTGCCAGCCCAGTAGTCTACCACTGAGCTACGCCGGTGTTAGTGACTTGTTGGTAAACTTGCCTTAGGCAGGCTTGATGTCGGCAAAGCAATCGCGGTAATACGACTTACAAAGCGTTTTAAAACAGGGAAAGAACAACCAGTCGTTGCACAATGCGAGTAGCAGTAACGAGTGGGCCGTCCAACTGCTCCAACCCATTACAAAAGCTTGTTCTTGTTCTACTATTAACTGTGGCCGCACACCTACTTCAGGCATAATTCCTCATCGTCGTCAGCTGCTGCATGAACAATTGGCACGAAATTTCTGGCAAATGTTTTGCGGATACCACGCTTCTGAGAATGACGAAAAATAGCATAGGGAATGCCGGCCTACTAACCTAAAATTTTTATTATTAATGCTGTAGTGGGTATCAAGCTTGTGTGCTTGCAGCAGTTACCCAATGAGTGTTTAGAAGGCGCTCTGAAAGGCTGCTCTTCTAGCTTTCGCTGTGACTGTGCTGCACCTTCCGCACAGGCCTGGTGTTTTTATATTAGGCAGGCTGGATGCCACCTGAGCATGCACTTGCGAAAACAAAAATATTTAGTTCGCTCGATGCTGCGGGAAGAAAGGGAATGTGTGATTCTATTTCATGACATTTTTTTGTTAGCGTTAGCAGATTGTGAATTCCTAGAAGTGTGTGTTGATGTGTTTTGGAACTCTTTGTTGCAGCCGTAAGATGCAGAAGCTTCATCTCAGATATGAGACGCTGCAGAACGAGTCACTTGGGCCAACAATGCAGCATGAGGTTAGTGGCTGTTTCTTCATCCTTGCGTGTGCACGAATGAATCTTCTTAACAGTGTGAGATGTCAAGGGAAACTCTTAAGAAATTTGAAGAGTGCGGAGCTTGGTGAAATGATGCTTTTGTGATGAAGAATTAGCAATTCATTTTAATTAAAGTAAATGTACTTTTAATCATGGAGCAACAGCGCCTCTTGTGTTATGCTTTTCACTCTTGCTCACCAACTGTCTGCTTATCAATGGGGCCATTGATCAGTAGCGAAAAGCATAAAGGGCATCGAAGGCATTGCTCTGCGATAGCACCCCAGGTTAGTTTGACCTTGTTAGGAAATCTTGCCTGTTACACATGAGACAAAACTTTTATTTCAATCCTGAAATTAGCCTTTCCCAAATTATTCGAACGTGTGTCTGAGTCCGATAGGACTGACTACAATGGTTCTTCCAATACATCCAGTGTTAAGCACCCCATAGACACAACGCTGCAGCTTTTTGAGCGGCGGGTTGCTGTCACCATTGGTTTTAAATGCGTGTTAGATGGCTAGCTATGTTTGAATTATGAGGTGTTTGCTCATTTCAGGATCAGATGTTTTTGTTGAAATAGAGTTAACTAAAAACATCTCATGGACTGTTGTTGAAATAGCAAACTTGTACATTTATACTTTTTTTGCAATAAAGGCTGCCGATGGGCAATCACGACTCCCAAGAACACACGAGCCAAATACTATAGTGCAGCACGCGGCCTGGAACTGACCATTTGTTCTCAGTCAGCGAGAAATCGCTTTTTCTCTCGACAGATGATGCTACAGGCTCAAAAATCATTCGCAGGTCAATTGTCTGACATTGGCTGACTTGAGCATGGCATGCTTGGTTGTTACTGGGACAGCTACAGGAGGCTGCGACTTGTTTACCTGTGTGTGTACGATCACACTGGAAGGTCGTGCATTTGAGGAACAATAAGGTGCTCAAGGTCGCGAGGCTTGCTTGAAGTGTTTTCTTCCCCTGTGCCATCCCTCCCTGCTTAGCTTCCTACACTTCGTCGGGACGACAGAAGAGAGAATCCTTGTAACTCCGCTTATACTGGACGCATCCTAAAATATTTTTGGCGGTGAATTCGTGAGGCTATAAGCTCTTCTAGTGAATCCATTCTATGGCTACTTGGAAAACTGTTGCAGGTCCCCTTAAGGTTAAGAGTGTTCAAGTTGTCAGTGCTGTGTTTGCATTTTTCTTACTGCCTGCTCGCTATAGCCTCATTGTACCTAGTCTTTCGTTGTCGCATTTGGAACCTCTCGAGTGTTTTGATATGTTGTATATCCTACCACGTCGTCGAATGCAGCACACCACTCATTGATGAGTTGTGCTCTTGCGCAGGTGAACCAGAAGTCAAGGAGCAGCAGCAACTCTGAGGAAAAGGTGCAGGTGGGCGAAGAGGAGGAAGAAGAAAAGGAAAATGAGGAGCCCGAGGAAGCAGCCCCCGAGATTGGCCAGGCCGAAGACGAAAGAGAGCAAGACCGGCCACAGCAACAGCCAGCCCCTATGCTCCCTCGGAGATCTCCACCCGCTTGCATAGAGCTCGAAGAGGAGCTACACGCACTTTCCATTGAGCCGAGGCCCAAGCAGGCACCCTCAGTTGACCACAAGGTCAAGAGGCCAGGTGCGTCTCATTTCAGGGGCCAAAAGTCCTCCTGAGAACATATGCAAATGTGCACGTGCACACACACACCACAAAAAAAGGAAAAATAATGGCTACACCACTACAGCTAGGCAATGGTTTCTATACTTGTTAGCAGGTTGAGCCCTTTGTTTTTGAGTTGCACATCTCTATGGCGAGTTGCATAATTGTAGTCTTAGAGATCAAGGTACATAGCCCATAGTGCATAGGCAAGCTTGAATTGAGGGTGTCGGATATCTTTGTGGGTGGCCAGTTTTTATGTAGATAGTAGGGGTGCGCGAATATGCAAACTTTCGAATATTTTTCTAATAGTGTTTGCTATTTGATTCAATTCACACTGTAATTACTCAAACTTCTCAGACAAATACAATCAGTCAGATTGGCAGTGGCCCTTTCAGATTATTTTATATGCTTAAGCCCATCGCACTTTCGCACGGTGGCAAAGCTGCCTTTTAGATTCTGCTTTAATTGCAAATGTATTAACATAAAAAAATGCTGGTTCCGACATTTGAGATGCGCTGTGCCATTACAATGGCCTCTTCATATTTTTATATACTTTCACCGCATTACACTTTTGATATTGTGGCAAAGCAATTTTCAAGGGCTCAGGTTATGACTGTAAGCGGATCATTTCACAAAAGCGCTGCATTAAATCTGTGTGTTCGAAGTGGGGCTTGCTTTGATTAATGTAGTTTTGGGCCAGAATAACAAAACTTTATTTGCGAAAAAGACTTCGTTGCCACTAAAATGGGGCAACGCCGCGTGGTCGGGCCTCTATTCCAAAGCACCGTTGGCTCTCGCTGTCCTTTCAGCCCTCCTGACCAGCTTCCGCTGGTTCTCAAGGGCCGGGCTGGACAGCATTGTCTCCCACATCCCTCTGCTGTTGTCCCCTTCCTCTTCTTCGGTGTGTGCCGTACATTCCCATGTGATGCGGTAGAGCACCGGTGTGCTTCCATACCACGGGCATGTCTCTGTATGCTGTGGGGTGGTATGCATGCAATCTGTGGATGTTGTTGGTGTAACGTCGCAGAATCCATGGCCAGAAGGTTCTTGTGTGGAAAATCTGAAAAAAGTCGGACGATGACTTTCGGGATCCAAACTTATGTTTTTATACATTAACGTCTATAAGGCATAAGAAAGTCTGATCTTGAAGGGAGCATGCCCTTGTTCGCCAAATAATTTGGGCTTCCACGAAAGTTCCAAGAAGAGGATAGGCTGAGAAAATAACATCGTTGCCTTTCACTTGTAAAATGTTGTTGGAAACACTTTGGTTGCACAAAATTGGGTA